AGGCTGGTGGGCGTCGGTGTGGCTGTGGGTTGTTCTCACCTCTTGCTTCTGCGCTGTTACAGGAGCCTGTCAAACCCGAAGAAGGAAGAGATATGGCAAACCGCATTGGTGCATTTGGGTATATGGAGTGTTCGGCAAAGACCAAAGACGGTGTGAGGGAGGTTTTTGAAATGGCCACTAGAGCTGCTTTGCAAGCCCGGCGTGGCAAGAAAAAGTCCGGGTGCCTTCTCTTATAAAGTGTGGCCAGAGGAAGATGGCCAAAGCAGCACCCTGCACTTGAGTAATTTTGAAGTGCTGTTTATTAATCTTAGTGTATGATTACTGGCCTTTTTCATTATCTATAATTTACTTAAGAGATTTAAAAATCGAGTCATCTTGCTACCAGTATTTAGAAGCCAACCATGATTTTTATAACAATCTGCATCCAATTCATCTGTGCACCCAAGGTTAACCTCAACATTCCTCTAACCAACCTTTTCTGCACTCACAGGATATGCCAGGCGCTAATTGAAGACAATTCTCTCTCTCCTTTCTTCTCTCTAGAAAGAGAAAAAGCTGTCAACACAGAGGATTGGTCTGTAACTACTTTATAACTAACGTCCTATTCTAATTGAGTACAACAGTTACATGGCTGTATGTGGAATCAAGTGTAGCTTCAGTGCTATCACATTTAGGAAGATCTGATTTTCATGGCTCAGTGGTGTAAAACATTAGTTCGAAAATGTGATCACTCTGAAATGACCAAGTCCCATTCAGCTAAGGAAAAGTAAGGGTTCTGTGGTTTCATGTTAGTTACCTTTTAGTTACTGTGTAATTAGTGCCAGTTTAAATGTATGTTACCAAAAATAAATCTATTTACCCCAGCTTAGATGTAGTATTTTTTGTATAATTGGATTTCCTAATACTGTTACTTGTAACCTCTGCGTTAAGGTGTTCTGGGTTTTTTAAGAAACTGTATTTGAAAATAAAGTCCGATGGAAAGCAGCTGATCCTCTTCCCCTGTTCATTTGTAAGAGTCTGACCCATTTGAATGATTTGAGTGGTCTGCACACCCCGGAGGAGTTTTTTCCATGACATGCCGTAGGGATGAGAAAAGACAGCCTGCTCACACTCAAAGCTTCTGAACTGTTCAGTTGCCTTAAGTTCATTGCTGGACCCAGCTTCAAAACTAAAAAAAGAAAAAAAGGAAACTTTTTGTGTAAGTTTGGTTACCATGTAGTGATCAGACTCCTAACCTGTGAACTTCTTGCTGTTCTGCAGCCAACTAAACTCTTTCTGTATTTTCATTTTTCCAACAACTAATAGAATAAAGGCAGTTTTCTAAGCTCCCTGTATCCTGGTGTCTGTATTCCTCACTCTGGGATTTTGGCCCAGCGTCTGACAGCCTGAATCAGAAATGCCATTTTTGATACAGCTGTGATAGGATTCGCTGAGCAGCTGCAAGTGCTTTAATGCTTATTTTTGTTTCCCAGCAAGTGATACCTGTCCGCTGCTCACAGTGGTTTCCGAACGCTGCAGCAGAGCAGGGGTGGGATGCCTTGCCCTGCCTGGCCCCTGCGGTGAGTGGCAAAGCTTCCCAGGAGCTGCTTTGGATACTCAAACTAGATGAGGGGACATCAGTTGTTGAATTTGCAGGTCTCAAGCACAGGAATAGACAAGCAGGAGGAAGCTATGCAGGAGGGAAGCAGAAGAAGGGAGGAGAAGACGGCAGTGCTGCTGTAGAAGCGTGCGGAGGCATGCCGCGTGGTGGTCTGCGCTGTCGCCCGCTCCTGCGCTGTGCTGGAGCACGCTCACTGGGTAACTGGCCGTTTTCACGAGGGATGGGCTCGAGGTGCGGGCTGTTGTGTTGCACCCACGCGGGAGAGCAGATTGTGCTGCTCCTGGCTGAGAAACGGTACGGGACAGTGGTGCGCACCTCCACGGCTGTGCTGGTATTTGCAAGAGCTGCTGCTGAGCTGAGAGCCTCTGCCCGCAGGAGGCAGAGCAGTTGCTGATGACAATCCATGTGAGTGAGCACCTCGCTGTGCCCATGTTATGTCCTAAAAAATGATGCCAATGTCCGCTTTTTTTTTTTTTTTTTCTTTTTTGGACAATGTTCCCAATTCCTTTTCCTGTCACAAAGGAGAGAGATGGACCCGGCCTGAGGCCCTGGGAGTGCCCCGTACCTCTGGTCCTTGTCCTTCCCTCCTGGCTCTCCTGGGTGCCCACTCTGCCTGTGCCGGGGTTCAACCAAGCAGGAAGTTTCCAGCTGCTGCTGTGGCGCTGCCCACGAGGACGTTGTCGTTCTCTGCCCTGTTAACGAGCCTAGTCACTCCTCCGCAGTTCCCTTGCTTGGGGGTTTTTGTTGTTGCTGGGCAGTGGGGGGGGTGGTTGCAGATGACCAAACCCGGGTGTTTTTCAGTCTTGCAGAGCCGCTGGGTTGCAGTTCTCTATGGTCACAGCTACAGAGCAGCTCTTCAGCTGCTCTTCTGGGGGTTTGAGTAAGGTCTGCATGTTCTTCAGACCCAGCTCGTGCTCGTGGGTTGTGTATCCACTGATGCGCTTCCACCCAGAAGTAATCAATTTGTTATCTCAGTTTTAATCTAAGCTCTTGCTAACCTACAGCACCACCTCCCTATCTCCTCTGTCTTGTCCACCGACCGCCGTTAGGTTTCCAGGCCTGGCCTGCCTTTCCATGAGTTGGTGTCTCCCAGCTATTGCCAGAAGCCTCCAGCTCCTTATTCCTTGGACCACTGGCACCGGAGCAGAAGCCAGCTTAGGAGCGCAAGGTTATTAAGTTATTTTAGCCTTCCTGCCTTGGAGGGCTGGCAGCCTGGCTCCCTTTGGGTTCTTGTCGCATCTGTCACCTCTGGAGGCCACCTTTGTTCCAGATGAAACTGAGCTGAGGACGCAGACGGCCAGCGCAGACCTGGGAAATGAGAGCTCAGCCTTCATGGAGAGCGATCCAGCCAGGCAAGGAGCTGTGAAAGGGGCAGGGTCAGGCCCTTTCACAGTAGCTGTGAAAGTGAAGGGCCATGCCAGCCCCCTGGCCAGGAAAGGGACTTTGGTACCAGGACTGGGGAGAACATGTGAGCAGGAGGCCAAAAAGGCGTGGTTTGCAACCCTTGTGATTACTCGCTGCGGTTGCTGTTGAACAGCATTCTTCTGACCTCGTAGGACAACTGTCACACGTCTCAAAAGGGGGCCCTTGAGCCCTTTGAGTACCTCGGGAGCTCCTGGCACTCCTCTGGATCCAAGTTCAGCTGGCTCCACAGGATGTGTCCAGGCGCGGGGCGTAGCTCCGAGCCAATGAGAAAGTTCAACTTGTTTGGTTTTCTTAAACTCACTCATCGAGGAAGGGAAAGCCCTAACCCACCTGTCTGAAAAGGGCAGGGCCCCAGAAGTACGCTCCCTGCTTTGGATGAAATCCCCAGGTCCAGCCTGAGGACTGAAGGTGCCAGTCTGAGCAAGCATTGAAAGCCTCTAGTGGCACTGCCCTAGAGGTCACCTCCGAAGAGAAATTCCTTGTCTTCGAGCGCGGGGCCCGAGAGGCGGGTGAGGAGTCGGCATGGACTGTAACCGTTGATTTACTCAAGAGCAAACGTGGGTGGTTCCTCTGCTCGTCCCACCAGCCGTTTCCCGGCTGCTCTGATCTCTCTCGGGACACTTGTCCTGGGTCCTGCTATCAGTGCTGCAACATGCTGCAAAAACTGCAAGATAATCAGGTGAGTCCCCCGAACTCACCACAGCCAGGAACTATTCCAGTTCCCAGTCGCGGGGGGGCAGGTGCCAAGAGTGGCCCGAAGCAGAACCCCGGATCCTGCGGTCACCTGGGAACCCGGCCCAGAGCTGCCCGGCGGGCTGTCAGTGACAGCCGGTGTTTGTGACGAGACCCCTACACCCAGCGGG